TACTTCATCTGGGAAAAAGTTTGTTCACACAGATATGTCGTCCCAAAAATGGAGATAAATTTACAAGCAAATTTCTTTAAATTTGGAAATTGCTCAGAGTTCAGAAATTTATAAAATTCGATCAAATTTCCTTTCTTGTGTTTGTCTTTAATATGATAATTTTCCTGAAGTTCAATAATTTCCATTTGAATTTGACTTGAGACACCTGCAGCATCACAGTCAAACGGATTTTGAAACAATCTAATTTCCTGAGCACTGGCATCCAAATCAGCAAATCGCTTCCGAAATTGTTCATTCAAATCTGAAATGACTAGATTTGTAAACGAGGAAGGAAATTCAGCTTCACCATTTTTATGCAATTCTGCACAGTATAGCATATGAACAAAGTTACAATTTTTCACTTGCCTTTCCAGAACTTCCAACTTCGCTCTGAGCAAAACTGGGCATAAGTTGCCTTTAATACAAAAATGGTAATAGGTACGACACCGGCGGTGATGATGATCTGTTACAATTACAGTGCACCACTGCAAGAAGTCTTGTGCACAAGACGGCTAGTAACGAACTGCTCGCGCTACCTACATTGCCACGAAGTGACACTGCCGATCGAGGCCGAACAAGTACGAAGAAATACCGCGCAGTATAGGTCCAGAATTAGTAAAATTGTGAATAACATTAATATTAACATAATATGGATTATCAGTATATTTTAAACACAATCTTAATTAATGAATTTGAAATCTATGAACAAGTATTTTTTTTACCAGTACTCATTGGCAAATTAGTTTAATTGGCGCATTTCTGCACAATTCTTTTGCGGGCCGGATAAAATTACATCGTGGGCCGGATGTGGCCCGCGGGCCGTAGTTTGGAGACCCTTGATGTGTTTCATTAATTCGTGTCTATCAGCTCATTAACATCTGAAAGAAAAAAGCAGATAGATATATGTGTGTATTCAAAGCATTAATAATACATTTCTTTTATTTACTAACAACATGTTTTTGACACGCAAATACAACAGTTTTGATATTTTTCATTAGCAAAGACGTAATTTATAACTTAAATTATACGTTAGCTCTTGTAAAAGTGTGCTCTCACATTAATAACAATGCAGAGACATCTACCGCTTTAACTGAGAAATGAATTCAGTGTGTGAGATGGAGTTTCTTACAGGGGAAGGCATAGAAGTTGAAAACTTGGAAACAGGAAGAGTAGAACTTAAAACCAAACGCATAGCAGCAAGTACAGGCTCGGGTGAACTTTCAGAATTAACGTCATTTATTCAAAGCTCGAACTTGGCTCAAAGTTCGCGATACGTGACGGAACTGAAGAGAGAGAGAGAGGGAAGCTGAGCTCTGGTGTTGCAGCGAGAATAAGGGTCTTGTTGAACATCCACCCCCACCCTTACCTCCACCCTTCTCTCTTCCTATTCGAATCTGTGCAGCAGTTTTTGTTAACAGGAAGATATTGCACATAGACAAAGCTTTATTTGTGACAGGTTTTCTATTCTCCAGCTGTAACTTCAACGCGGTGGCCATTTAGAAGTGGGAATCTGAACCTTCTGTCATGCAGTTCAGCTCATGTGCTCAGTTCAGATTAGCATGTCCTGTACACTACAACTGAGTTTATGCCAATCCAAATGAAAATGTAATTGTTCTCGTGTGCTAAAACTTTATATTGTGGCAAGAACATGGTTTTATGAAACGCTAAAATAAATATGATAATAATGGCGTAATAGTTTAACAAGGTAAGTCGTCCGTTACTAAGCAACGTCCTGTAAATACGGTTCCACAAAAACGAGTCAACAAGCCATAATAGAGGAATTGTTATAATCGAAGATGTTCAGCTGCAAAAATGAAATCTCTGGTCATGATCCTCAAGGAGTTTGGCGTCAAGACGAACTGATTGGCGGTAAACTGCCAGTCGTAAAGTGAATTTATTCTTGTGGTTTGTTGTATCCTGTTTTGTGTTAAATGATCTCTGACTTTGACTCTGAAGACCCCTCCCTCGTTGAATCACGCGCATGCCTAGGAGAGAACAAACATCTTGGTCATTTATTTCGAGGACAGTAAAGCCATGCATGACAGTGCTTGCGAGGGCCAACAGCAATTTAACCGACTGACCGACCGAACACAAACTGAGAAGACTTAGTGTGTGTTGTAGTGATTCGTAGAGTGAGTGAATTAGTGAGGCTGTTACGTCATGTCCTTATAATTTTGAGGAGGATATATGCGATGTTGTATCATGGTTTTGACATTGCACTGGTCCTCAAATCGCTGTACCCTGAAGGAACAAAACGTTGGGAGGGCGAATCTGTGGTCGGTGTTCTTTTGTGAATACTAGATAGAGTATATTTGATCAATAAATTTATTAATAATATGTGGCCACTAACGACAATCGAACCTTGGTACCCTTAGCGTGAACAGTGCCGGCTCTCAAACTTAGGGCAGAGATCAGTCCGACATGGATTAGCCGATACTCAGTAATTGTTAAAAAGCACTTTGTGCCAATGCCAATTTGCTGTTGTATATAAACAGGTCAGCAAATCAACGCACTTTCTGAAAGTTTCCATTGTGTTCGCAGATAACAATCGTTGGTCCTTCAGTATTCTTGCATTGCTGTGGGGATGTTTGTACACTTTCTGTTTATGCTTTTATTTCCAGTATCACTGTGGGGCACGAATGTCTGTTGACAGTCAACATCCCGTTTATCGAAAATAATATTGGGGAAATACTGAGTTACAAATAAATACACTTCCAGGATATTCACTGCTTGAAATGTATGTCTTCTCCGTCCAGACCTTGTAATTGTTTAATATACCTGATGATTTTAATTATTCTCTTATTTATAGGTTTGTACATCATAACCCTTTGCCAACTTCGTGCAGTAATAATCAATAAAGTCCTTATAAAATGACAATACATAAAATTTATAATCATTTATAGTTACAAGTATTCAAAAAATCCAATTACCATCCAAACCCCATGCCTAATAGTTACTATAGGATTCTGACGATGGTGTAGAACACACAGAGATATTGGGTTTTCGGACTTTATCCATCGTCCTGGTTTTTTTAAGATAACTAAGAAAAACACGATGTTTCGGAAACTGGATCTGTTTCCGTCCTCAGGTGAGGGAAAAACACCTATTCTGTTGGGTCCCTTAGAAAGAGCTAGCCTCAGTCACTGGACCACGACGATGGATAAAGTCCGAAAACCAAATATCTCCCAATGTCTAATCACTAACACATGAGGATATGTACGTTAATCAACAAAATCAACAAATCAACAAAAGAGATCATGTGATCACATACGCACTTTCTGAGTGGATTCCAAATTCACCAGTTTACTATATACGGAGAGAAGAAGTGGTCAGATTCAGAAACGAATTACTTACTTACTTATGGAGCTGAGCCCTTCTTGAGAAGCCGCCAATTCTGCAGCTACTCAAGAATTTCCCAGCATTTTATGGAACCTGAAGGTTCATTGCCGTGTTAAAAAGAGCCCTCCACTGGTCCCTACCCTGAGCCAGATGAATCCAATCCATACCATCCCATCCTATCTCTCTAACATCCATTTTAATATTGTTCAGCCACCTACGCCTTGGTGTTCCCAGTGGTCTCTTTCCTTGTGGCTTTCCCACCAATATCCTGTATGCATTCCTTTTCTCCCCATTCGTGCTACACGTTCAGAAACGAATACTGGAAATTATTTTTAAATGTACTGAAACATGTGTTAACAACCAGAAGCTATAAGATGTGCAATAGATAAAATTAATAGCTACAAAATATTATGAAAACAGTGCCAAAACACTAGATGAACAATATAGGAAAAAGAATTGAAACGAAACACCGTTTTAATTAAATTAAGAAAACAATAAATTAACGAAATGCTTGTTATTTTTATTTCAGAATATGTCAACATGGTAGTCTTACCGACACATATAGAAATTACGAGTGACTGAACATTTAGTGAGCCGAATGGGAGATGTCCCGGGTTCTATTCCCGGCGCTACCAGATTTTTTTCTGAGAAGTTGTGGGTCTGGAACAGGGTCCACTCAGCCTCGTGAGGATAATTGTGGAGACATTTCAAAGAAATAGCGGCTCCGGTCTAGAAAAACGATATTAACGGCCGTGGGGATCCGTTGCGATGACCACGCGGCACCCTCTATCCACTAAAGTTGACACTAACATGTGACACTATCATCAGACGTTAAATTTAAATTGATTAAGGCTTTCGGTAATATGTATTCCTATCCAGAGTCTGCTTCCTGAAAGTTACATTCTTTCTCTCTGTGCAGGTATTTCTGTGGGGCCCTGAAGGAAGCCGTCAACTGTTATACTTTGGAAGTGTCGTTTTTCGGATACCAACGTCCTAATTCTCCAGGAATATTTCAGTACACAGAAGAATCATGTATCCTTTCAACTACGCTTTAATCAACAACAGAGGGGATGGTGTGCTCTTCCATTCTAGACTTCGCTGTTGTCGGGCTGGTTAAACTAGGATGGGCTGGGCCCTAGGATTAGTTAGGTTCGGTTATGTTCGACATACTACGTCACTCTACGTCATGCCAGCAGGGTCAGTCCAGGCTTTGACTGTGTACTTTATGCCACAGTAAGCACAGAGTCTCTATAATAGGCTTAGGCTGGCTATGTTAGAACGTGTTCAGCTGTTTTAAGTTCGACCGAAATGTAACTGGCTATATTATTGCTAATCTTCCGCTGGATAGGGAAGAGATAATGAGGATTAGTGAAGAAAAAGTGAGCCTTAAATTACAAAAATTTAGAACAAGAATAAATGGAAAAGTTAATGATACAAATAGTGATGACAAGAATAGATAAAAATATTACTGTAGAGCCTATATTTAAAAACTATAAAAAATAATACATTTATTCATCGGTAGAAGACTCAGAATTCTTACATGTTTTCTGTGGTCTAGTGGTCAGAGTTCCTGCCTACAGATCCAGAGGACCCGGGTTCGATTCCCGGCATCGCCAGAATTTCTGGCTAGGGTAAGGTTTCTCTGGTTTGGCTGAAATCGGGTGTGCTGTCTATGTTAGACCAGATGTGGAATAGTCTTGGATAGGCTGGATCGTGGTGAGATCTCCAGGCTGCCCTAGGATTGGTGTGGTTTGCTGGGCAAGGCTAGGTCACATTCAAGCTGCTTTGACACGCCATGGAAGAAGAAGTCAAGCAACGTAAGGGAACTTTCAAGATAATTTTGTTCGCAAAATGCCTTGACCTGGTGATCAGATTGTCGGCTCGGCCGGAACTTAGCTCGCACGTACCTGGATTACTACCGAGCCATTGGAGTTATCCCAGTGAATCTACCTGCTACTGTTACAACGTCCCCTGAACCAAGGATGCGAGCCAGATCAAGCCGGAGCCCATCAGCGCGTCCTCGCTCCCGCCCTCGGACAACACGCAGCCACGCAGTGCTTCACATGCATGAATTGACGGCTACCTACGACCAGGGCGGCAGTTCCTCCAGTGACGCTGGTGAAGGTTCGCCAGTTCACCCTGCGCCTCCGTTACTCCAGCACAACCAGGGCCCCACACACGTTCTTCTGCACTACCAACAGTTGCCCGCGCCAATTCCAGAGAAGCACGTGTCTGCAGGCATCCGAAGCCTGGCTGGAAGGAAAGTAGGAGGTGGAGGTGTGGTTTGCCGTTCTGCAATGCCTGCTGCCTCCAGGCCACAGCCACCGCCGCCTGCACCTCCCAGACTCACCATCATCGACTTCAACAAGTTAACTCGAGGAGGTCTAGATCAGGCAACTGGACGAGGCCGCGGAAGGAGCAGTCGAGGCAGAGGAAGGCCGAAGAGACGAGAGTCGAGGAAACTTGGCGGTTCTCCTGCACAGAACTGAAGCTAGATCCTGATTCATTGCAGTCCGCTTGATGATTGCAGATGGATGTTTCCGCTAAAGAAGCAATTGTTCTGTTTGTCCTCTGCTGTTCCAGTTATACAGGATGAATCGTATAGAACCGGTCAGATGAATTTGCTAATAATTCCGCAGGTGATGCATATAACCGCTCATAATTACGACATAATAATCCGTGGGCCGTGCTGAGTCGAATGTTGTGCGCATGATCCGGCAAGTGGCAGCCCTTATGCTGCAAGGTCAAGGACAATGCCGAAACGTGTCTGCAGTGCGCAGGCAACAGTCATGGAGTACACTGTTGAACAGCGAGTGTTTCTAGTGCCTACTTGAAAACGGCGGACACTTTCAACACCTGCTCTGATCACGGCACACAATCCAAGATAAGATATGTGTAAATTACTTTAATATCTGTATGGTATATTTTATATTACAGCTCATTTCGTCGGGCCGGTTCTATATGAATCACCCTGTATTTCAAAATCTGGTGCACTCTAAGTACAAGAGATTATCTGAGAATTTCAAAATTAATTCCACCATCAGGACGTTAGACCGAGAAGTCTACAGAAAATCCTTCCTTATTCAGGAGCGAAATCGATAACTTACCTTGTTTGAAACAATTAATGTGGGTTCACTGTATGTGCATAATCACAAACATAACTTAGATCTCCAATCAAGTTCTGGGAAAGTGAAAGTACTTCTCTTTCTCCTTGAAATTTCCGAACTAAACCTTTACATATGTCCGTCCATCTCACAAANTTGTATGAATCACCCTGTATTTCAAAATCTGGTGCACTCTAAGTACAAGAGATTATCTGAGAATTTCGAAATGAATTCCACCATCAGGACGTTAGTTAGACCGAGAAGTCTACAGAAAATCCTTCTTTATTCAGGAGCGAAATCGATAACTTACCTTGTTTGAAACAATTAATGTGGGTTCACTGTATGTGTATAATCACAAACATAACTTAGATTTCCAATCAAGTTCTGGGAAAGTCAAAGTACTTCTCTTTCTCCTTGAAATTTCCGAACTAAACCTTTACATATGTCCGTACATCTCACCAAGAACTGTTTTTCGCTTGTCACAGTCACTTGTTTATTACTGACACATCACTTCCAATTGTGTTCTTAATTCTTAAATAAACCCGTATCGTATGTCTGTATTTTCATAGAGGACGTATTATAAATTTGCAACGGTAAAATGAAGATTTCCTGTATATCTTCTGAATGAATTCAGAAAATTGCATCTGCTTCGAACAAGAAAATCCACTTCATCGGGGACTCGAACCCGCGACCTTCAGGTTTTTAGCTAGTGCTTCAACCAGCTACACTACAGCGTGTCTCCCCCCCCTTTTCAATGAGTACCGGGGCAATTCCGGGGGTAAGACGACGGAAGCGTGAAGCTGATCACTCACTTCCATTTTGTGCCGAGGTTAATACACCATATGCCTTCATGATGTTGTCCTAAGTAATTAATTATGGTCATTTTAGGTTGCAGGGAAAGGCATTATGCGACAGATCGTAACTTGTGTTTGGAGTCTCCGCGAACATAGAAATAATGTCACCGAACAATTAAATATACTAAATTCCTTACCACTTTTCGTTCTGAACAATCTGTTCTTCTTCTAAGTAAGTACTGTCACTTCCAAATGCCCCTTCACTTAACTTTCCTATTTGACTGCCTTTGGTCTGGCCTCTTTTTGAGTTCCAAGAGAGACATTAGGGCTGCGCCACAGCTCAAGCGGTTAGTCGCTGGCTTCCCACCGCGGCGACCCGGGTTCGATGCCGGGTCNGGCGACGTGGGATTTTTGGTGGACAAAGTGGCGCTGGGGCAGGTTTTCTCCGAGTATTTCGGTTTCCCCCGCCAATCTTCATTCCACCAATTGCTCCACAATCCCCTCACCTATCATCTGGGGGTGGTACAATAGGCCAGAAGTGGCCGCAGTACAAGGGACTTAGTCCCACCCCAAAGCAATGAAAAAGACACATTAGTCCTCCAACAACGTTAAGATGAAAGTCACATGGAGGGACTCCTGCCCCTGCCTTGCTCCCTAAGCGCTGGAACACACACAGCGACATCGGTCTACGATTTCTTTGCCGTACGACCTCCTTTTCACACTAGAACGACCAAATACATTTATTTGCTCTCCGACTGTCGTACGGTAGATGTCGCATGTCGTCACGTATGAAAGCTAAGACTACACTTTATATTCTACTACTCGATGCGACATGAACCGTACGGACGTCGTACGACCGATGTCGCTGTGTTCCTACCCTAACTCGTACGAGATATCAGTGCACGACCCACTCCGAGGGATCGTCCCGAGAACATTCGTTAAAATTCGGTCACGACTCGGCTTTAGCTCCTTGCCCCACCGTTGGAATCCCTATCAACCAGCCCATCGCACCACCCGTCGAACTGGTTGTTAGTGGCCCGGTGAATAACCAATATTCACAAATTTTCATACGTACAACATCAGCAAGACACATGCCAGTCAAAACAACATAACTCAATTAGACCGTCTCTGTGGTCTAGTGATCAGAGCTCCTGGCTACAGATCAAGATTCCCGGCGTTACCAGATTTTCTGAGAAGTAGTGGGTCTGGAACAGGGTCCACTCAGCCTTGTGAGTATAATTGAGGAGCTATTTCAATGTAATAGCGCCTCCGATCTAGAAAACCGAGACTAACGGACGTGGGGATCCGTTAGTCTGACCACGCGACACCCTCTATCCGCTAAAGTTGGAACTAACTTCGCCGACAAGCGGCAGTCGCTCGATCAGTATAGTTCGCTTGCGAACTCAAGCCACGGAGTTGAGTTAGTTTTTTTAGTTTATTCGAATTAAATAAATGTGAAAAGGAAGAACACACGCTGGGAAACCAACAGGAAGATCATGTCAGATGTTTCTTCACAGTTAAGAAATTTACTGATGACTGGGTAGGTAGGTAATAAAATTTAAACACTTTAACCTCATTCCCCTTCCATTCCAATTTTTCATCTCGCCATTATGCAAACAACATGGCTAGAACATGGAGTTGGACTGGGCAAATTTCCTTACTTCCACTTTTCTGTGTGAATTGTATATAGAAGTGCTATTGTTCACGCTAGGCAACAAAAAGAATATATTCTTGTTACGAACATACAGTAGCTTACCCTTCACATACATGTTACCTGACCAGAAAATATAAACTGGTTTCATTGTAAATGAGAAAATACTGTCAGCTAATGTTGCTTGCAAATATTTTAAGAAATCATCTATGTTTAGGCGAAACACTACAATGCAGTTATTAGGCACTTACCTGTGGCATATTTTAAAACTGTCCACTTGACAGTTAAAGGCTAAGTATAATGATCTTTGAATAAAAGTTAAAATGTTGTACAACAAGGATTCACTTTCAATATTTGCATATATCCATACACGTATATATTACTTCGAATATAAGCAAGTTTTACAGATTTTCTGAGAAGTAGTATGTCTGGAACGGGATCCACTCAGCCTCGTAAGGATAATTGAGGAGCTACTTCAAGGAAATAACGACTCAGGTCTATAAAACCGAGATTAATGGCCGTGGGGATCCGTTGCGCTGATCACGCGACACCCTCTATCCTCTAAAGTTGGTACTAACTTCGCCGACCAGAGGCGGTCGCTCGGTCGGTATACTTCGCTTGCGGACTAAAACCACGGAGTTTGTTTCTTTTCCGTTGAAAAATTGAGGTGCGTCTTAAATTTGAGGAATGTGCACCTTTCTGTTTTTTTCCTTAAAAGCTATATTCTGAAACTGGATGAGTTTCTGGGCGTCTTATATTCGAATTAATACGATATATATACATTCTCTATCTATGTATACATATATTAAACAAGAGACAAATTTTAAAGAATATGCTTCTGTAATAGTTATTACCATATTTATATTTATAATTCATAATTAAACTTCCGTTATTTTCTCAAATTAAAAGCCTCTTTCACTTGTCTCTGACCCTCCTTATTACGTGTAAGTGTACAACTGTGCCTCGATCTAAGAGTTCCGGACCCAACATCCTACGACCCCTTAGACTAACATTCCCAATTGCACATACAACACGAAATTCAAATTTCTGACATATATATGATGAATCGAATTTCGTGAACAAGCTTTCCATAGTGTGAATATTTGATAAATAAAAAGTACAAAATATTGTACAATATTTTTCTTGTGATGTTCAATTTTCAAAATGCACTTTGCCGTGAAGTGGCGTCTCTTAAATACAACAGTTGTACGAAACAGCCTGCGGCCATTTTAAGTCAGACGGCAGTGGGACGCACGGCATTCTCCAACAGGCCTCAACATATCGGCATCGGCTGTTGTCACATGTGCTACAAGTCTTGCCAAGGAGATCTTCAACAGTCCTGGGCCGGAGTGCATAAACGCCCTCCTTGTTGAGTCCACACTAAGAAGTTACATCCTGCGACTGAGGGAGCGAAGTAAACGGCCCTTGACATCCAGTCTACGTCCCTGGATATGTCGCGTAGAATCACTACAGGGCACCTGTCCAATAGAACCCCACACAAGGGGTGGACAGAAGCGAAGAAATGAGAAAAGAAACTGGAATCACAAAGGTAAATATCAAAGTACGACAACATGAATATAACTCACTCACTTGCGGGCTGAGCCCTTCTTGAGAAGATGCCAATTGTGCAGCTACTCAAGAATTTCCGAGCATTTTATGGAACCCGAAGGTTCATTACCGTGTTCACAAGTGCCCTCCACTGGTCCCTATCCTGAGCCAGAACAGTCCAATCCATACCATTTCCATCCTATCCCTCTAAGATCAATTTTAATGTCCACCCACCTACGCCTTGGTCTTCCCAGTGGTCTCTTTCCTTCTGGCTTTCCAACCAGTATCCTATATGCATTTCGCCTCTCCCAAATTCGCGTTACATGCCCTGACCATCTCATCCTCCTTGACTAATTCTAATTATTCTTGGCGAAGAGTACAAGTTATGAAGCTCCTAATTATGCAGTTTTCTCCAACCTCCTGTCACAAATTAGAAGTTTTCATCGTTAGTAAGTATAGAAGCGTGACCATGCCCTTTTATAAGGCTTTCATGTTTTCCCATCAATATCTAAACGAACAGCATGATATGTAGCAAGATCCTCGTTTAATTAAACAAAGATGTAACATGATTTACATATCAAAGTCCACCAATCAAGCTTATCATGTAAGATCTGAGGCTTTCACGGCGGTGACTATGAAGAAAGCAGTCTTCTGGGATTTGGCACCGNCATATTATTTTAATTAAACAGCTCCTGAATATAGAACACTATGTCATGTTGTTCTTTAAAGAAACAAATAATTTGGTCAAAAACAAAACAATGAAATTAAATGAGTAATATGGACGCTCAAATTAGTCTTATAATGAAGACTAAACAGTGATTAACAGATATGTCTCAGGAAACCGACAGCTTGTGCAGAAGTGAGAACATTCCCGTTCCACCAATGAAGGGCTGTCCAACCATTAGCCGACTCGAAGGGGACACCAGGTCATCCCGTTTACCTGAAAAAGAAAAAAAACGTATATAATTAATTTTACAAAATCATAAATATGGCCCCCGTGTGGAGGCAGGGTCGAATACCTCCATCGTGACCCTGCGAGTCGTAGGAGGCGACGAAAAGGGAAGTCTCAAATCTGAGACAGTAAAATATGGTCGCAAGTCCCAAGGGACTCGGACCCGAGAAAGACTACACTGGCAAGGACCAGCAGCATATACAAAAGACAGACCCATCCTCTCGTCAGAGAGGGTGCCCCACAAAAATACGACCGTAACTGTCGAACGGTAATAAATAATATTTGATCATGAGCCTTAGATGGGGCTCGACATCAAGACATACTGACTGGGGCCGTTAGTCGCAGTATGACTTTGACTTGATATGAATGTGGTTTGCATCATGAACGTGCTCTTCATTAGAAAGTGCTGAAAGTTTCTTAACACATGTAGCACGATAAATATCACTTCAAATCCGCGCACGCGCGTCAATATGTACTCTTTTCGTCAACTAAAGCTATCCCTGTAACAGGCCGTGGAGGCCCATAGGGTTATGAAACGTCGAGGCTCCCACATTTTTTCTAGATAATCGGCTCACAGATGGCGGTGAGGTTGTTAGCCTTACGACCCTGCCATCCTTTACCCTTCAGAAAGATTCCTGGTATTCATTTCTGTTAGAGGCTGAGTCAACCCCACGGCCATAATGCGGTTGGGAGGATTAGATCAATTGCAAAATCAAATAACTCATCGGAAATCGAACCCGTGACCTTCCGGCTTGTAGGGCTCTGCCTTAGTCCCGGTAGGGTCAAGAATTTGCTCTTTTCCACGTCATCCATACAGGCTCTGTGGTCCACCCAACCTCCTATCCAAGCGGCTGAGGCGTGAAGCTGACCACTCACCTCCAACTAGTGCCGAGGTCAAGAAAATGCGGATCTATACATTCATCCCCCCATACGCCTTCATGGCGTAGTGTTTAATTAGGCACAGGGAGAACTTTACCTTCTTGTTTCACTCTTTTCGTCAATGAAAGTCTAATTGTTCTTAGCGTTCTTGCACAATGTGCCTTCATGGCGCCCTAAATATTGTGGTACACAGGACAGAATTCTGAATGCCCCAGACATCAGAAGGTTGCGTGGTCATGCGCACTCCTCCTGTTTATATGAATGAACGAAGCTGACCAGCCTCGGGGATCTTTCGAATAGAATGCAAAGTCAGTTAATATACACCCGTGCAGACTGGACCGCATCTTCACTTCTGAGCTACACCATCCTCTGCAGATGCAGTCGCGTTAGGGTGAGGGCACGCCAAGGAAACTGGCAACCGCAACGCAACCGCGATTTCCGAGAACTGTTACCAGCCTGAGTTGAACACATGTTACTGAATGGAGCAGCGCAAATTGAGGAAAGGGTAACGCAGTTTCCAAATATAAATGCATTTTCTGTGAGTCTGTGTTGCCCTGTGTACGTAGTGGCCTTGCGACGGGCCGGTTCCCTATCCAAGGACTCCTACCGACTGTGTATAGGATTCATAATTTTAATATTAATTGCGAAATGGGAACAGGCCAGAGGCCCTAATCCCTCAAAGGAAGAGAAATAATAATAATAATAATAATAATAATAATAATAATAATAATAATGTTTCATTCTTTAAGTTTCCCAGGCAAAGATCCTAAGACACTATATTTCACGTAAGTTAACGTCGCTCAATAGTTAGGTCATTTTTTTCCCCTGGCACTACGGCCAGGTTTTTCTAGATCTTACACATACGGTAGGACTCCTTAGGCGAGTGATCAGCTCGTCGCAAGGCCTCTACCTGTAGACAAACACAGAAAAACGCACACAAACATCCATGCCCTGAGTAGGATTCGAACCCACGATCCCGGCTTCCGAGCGAGCGAAGACAGTGCATACCTTAGACCGCTCGGCTACCGTGACCGGCCAATAGTTACGTCATAGCCTTACGAATTCTTGTTACGGTACTGAGGTCCGCCGATTGCAGCGGCCGCGCTGTTTAAGGCGTTTAAGGCATGAACTGTCTTCGCAAGGCCAAACACTTGGATCTTCGAGTGCTGCTCTCTCTCTCACACACATGCACGCGCACACGCACACAGGGGCACTACAAGAATCGAACGGGACATCCGGATATTTAACAAGCAAGAAGAGAAAATAGTCAGGAGTCGGAAGACACAAGATACTTCAGGAATTAAAAATAGAAGTAAATACCAATTCCAGTGAAGAAATGCGAACTAATAGGCCTTAAAGAACTTGGGTATGAGCACATGAACTGGATTCCTCTAGCTCAGGATGTAATGAAGTGGCAGGCTCATGTGAGTACAGTAATGCACTTCCAGATTCTGTAAAGAGGGGAATTCCCTGAGTAGCTGGGCGAACAGCAGGTGCTCAAGGACTCTGCTCCGTGTAGTCACGTGGGTCCAAGGACGGGCAGAGACAAGTGGTTCGTTAGCTTTCTGAAGATGGAACCATGTTCTTGCAGCTGCCAAAAACCTAAGGTAGCGGTGGAGCCGGTGTCATTCCTGCTGCGTATTCAGGGGGCCCCAGGTTCAAATCTGGACTCACAGACTGCCTGTCCTCATAGGATATTCATTCTTTCGCTCAGGTCAAGTATATAAAAACACGCCACAGTCGGTTCCTTCCACATCCCTACCACGTCATTATCACTAACCACCCTATTTATCTATCTATCTACAGGACCGCGGTACCTTGGTTGGTTGAGGCACTATGCTACAAGACGGAAGGTCACGGATTGGAGTCCCGATGAGGCGGATTTTTTCAATTGACCTAGCTGCACCATGGCCCTGGGGTCGACTCAGCCTCTAACAAAAATGAGTACCAGTAATCTTCCTGGGGAGTAAAGGGCGGCCGGCGCGTAAGACTGAAAAACCTGACCGCCATCTGTGAGCCGATTGTCTAGATAATATGGGACCCTCCATGTCTCAAAACCTATGGGCCTCCATGNTGAAGACAGTCCATGCCTGAGACCGCGCGGCCACCGTGGTCGGTGAAAATCCTCTCATCCGACGATATATAATTAGTTACATTAAATAAACGGAACCAAGAAACTGAGAGAGCTTGTTACATTCATAGTTGCTGTGTTAATACTGGTTCCATACAATAAAGGAAAGTATCCCGCTGATTTCAGTAGGAATGTAATTTGGAGTTGATGGAGCCAGTTGGAACGGTTCTGGAGCTGTCAGACTAGAGAAGGAATTAACGTCGCGGAAGAGAAGGGCCGATGTAGTGGCTCCCCATGTCAGGTTAAGTCCCGTACCGTCCACAAGTTAATTTGGAATCTACCGCGGATTACACCACACAATACTGCACTCTGGTGCATAAGCTGGATAATTTAATCGCGAGTCCATTTCTTTACACTGTCGATTTCCGCTGGTCACAGTGTAAGGTAAATGTTCGGAAATTTACAATTCATGTCACTTGACGTATATCAAGTGACCAGAAAACGTATAAACAAGAAGCTTCAAGCAAAACTCACGAGGTTCCACTTTCCTACTCAAAAGACACCTTGTCCAAAAGATACGTGACACTTGCTTTACTGCTGTTTTATTTTCGTGAATAATTTATTACTAAAATACAGATTCTGCCTACGTTAACACTATCGGTTATAACCTCAAAATATAGACAGTCGCCATGTTTGTAATTGTTGACTTACAAACAAAAGTACGAATGTTGTACATGTATAGATGACCGCCTCTGTGGTCTACTGGTCAGAGTTCTTGGCTACAGATCCAGAGGTCCGGGTTCGATTCCCGGCGCTACCAGATTTTCCGAGAAGTGGTGGATCTGGAACGGAGTTCACTCAGCCTCGTGAGGATAACTGAGGAGCTATTTCATGGAAATAGCGGCTCCGGTCTAGAATACCGAAATTAGCGGCCGTAGGGATTCGTTGCGCTGACCACGCGACACCCTTTATCCGCTAAATTTGGCACTAACTTCGCCGACAAGCGGCGGTCGTCCGGTCGGTATAGTTCGCTTGCAGACTGAAACCACGGAGTTTTTTTGTTTGTTTGTACATGTATAGATTCTAAAGGGCTCTGACGATGGCGTATAACACTCATAATTACAGGGTTTTCGGACTTCTTCCATCGTCCGGTATTCTAGAAACTAGAAAAGACAACGTTTCGGAAACTGGATCTCTTTCCGTCCTCAGGTGACGGGGGAAGAGTCCTACTTTGTTGGGTCCAATGAACGAGGTTAACTCTTTGTAAGGGATAAGCATTCCAAGGTCATTTAAGACGATCTTATTGCATTATTGAGTTTCATAATTTGTACCCTTTTTTCCCCCTTGGCGCTACAGCCCCAGTGGGCCTAGGCCTACCTCCATGAACTTCTCCGTTCACTTCGGTTTTTCTAGATCTTACACATTTGGTAGGACTCCTTGAGCGGGTGATCAGCTCGTCGCAAGGCCTCTACCTGAATTTGTACCCTTTACCAAATATTATTAGGGTGACCATCTTAAGCAATGAGACGGAGGGGGCATGTAGAACGCACTGGAGAAATGACTCATTCAGAGCTTTAGTCGAAGAACCTGAAGAAAGAAGACCATTTCGGATAGCTAAACGTATGCTTCTATAGATACGGGTGTGGACTGCAGTCATATGACTCAAGGCAGAAACCAGTGGCAGGGTCATAAACCTTCTGCGGAAAATTTTTTGTTGATGACTGTCCTTTGTATGTTAACTGTGTGCTGATGACCCGTAACCTGTACGTAACACTCACAGGGCCAAATTGTTCTTATGATACTGTCACCGAGCGAAATCTTATGTAGCTTTTGGTGTGATCGTCGATGAACTACTGGATCTAGTCATGTTTTCTGTAGGAAGACAAATTATTCCTTTCATTCACCAATGGCTCTACGCCCCTTTGTTGGGCCCTGACCTCTTCTTCAGTTTCGTAATCTTTTTTACACAGACGGTAGGGCTCCTTGGACGAGTGATCAGCCTATCACAAGACCGCTACCTATATACAGGACAACACAA